AACCTGGTCCTCGGGGAGGGCTGGAGCCCACGGTTCATGCCCACTCTGGAAGTGCAGCAGAAGGAGCTGTCTTGTTGCCATTCCCCCATCAGCTTCAGCCTAAGGGTAAAGCACCGACCCAGGAGCCGCCACAGATGTCCCTGCTTGGTGCCGGTCGTGCGGTGGCACAGGCTTTTGTCAACCCAGGGAATGTTTGGGAGGCTGAAGCAGGAGTGAAATCTCTGACCTTTTGGTGCCCATGAAAGTAAAACTGTTTTGGAGCTTTTTGAGGCTGGCAGCAAACTGGCGTGATGGGAGAGGCTGAGCTCCCAGGAATATTTCAAAGCTGGGCTGTTGGGTGCTGGTCTGCAGTGGGATTGTGCTGTTTCAGAAGAGGGAGCATTGGGGGAAGCTGTCCAAAAGCCATTGGGTCTGGGGGGGTCAGGATGCTGGCATAGATGGCTTTGAATGCAGCAGGACTGAACCGGGTGGCGCTGAGCCAAGCCTGACCTAACTAGCTTATTTTCCTGCTTTCAGTAATGCCTGTACAAATGTGCCGAGGCCTGAAGGTCACGGCCATATGAGCAAAGGTATGGGGATTAGCTGTGGACAGAGCACAGCTCCTCCTGGGTGTGCTGTCATAGCCCTGAGCCCCGGGAATGACTGCACCCCACCAGTCTGCCCGCAGCTCCCCTGTGTGCTGGAGCCAGCACGGTGTCGGCGCCTCAGATGGGTGCTGGAGAAACAGAGGGCTGGCTAGGAGCAGCACCTCCAGTATCGGGCACTTCTCTGAGATCTAGGAAAATAGGAAAATGTTTGCTCATCCCACATCATCCCCAATTTTCCTTCTGGGTGTTGGTGGTACTGGCCAGTGGGTTGCTTTTATGCATGTTTCCCCTGCAACAGTGTCTAGCTCTGGTTTTGGAAGAAAGCCCAGCAGATGTGCAAACTTCTGCAAGGTGCCTGGTTTGGATGTGCCCACACCTCTGTGGGCCACAAACCATGCTCAGCTGAGCACACAGGGTCCCTCCTGGGGCAGAGGGTCACAGCTGTCCCTATTGCAACAGTTGTTACTGACCTAGTGTGATGCACGAGTGCGTTTCTCTTAGAGAGCTGGAAGGCAAGTTCCAAAAGCCTAATATTGGATCACAGCATCACAACTGAATAGTGATGATGCATATTTAGGCACTGATGTCATCAGACATGAAAGGGAAATGACATCTAACAGCATCCTCAGCACAACTCTCTCTAGCTGCCTCCACATGGCTCTGACTCCGCATCCTTAAAGCCCTGTTTCCTTTCAGAGCTGTTTGACTGCTCTCCCCGGGCGGTTTGGAGGAGAGGGAGATGGCGTGGGTGCTGTGGGACCTTGCCCGGCTCCTTCCCATCCCAGGAGGGAGCTGGCAGTGATTCACAGGCCAAGAAATACTTGGGGCTTGCTCCTCACCGCATCTGTGGGTACAGCGTGCAGGCTGCTGGACGTTCTTGGAGCGAGCCTGATGTTTCTGCCCAGAAAGCCGAACTTTGCCTGTCCCAATGCAGTGTTCTGATCCCCTCCTCACTGTACTAAAAGCCACGGCAGGCCATGATGCTGAGCCCATCGGGTGGAATTACTTAATCTGGCCCTGATGAGTGACACCCACCCCCAGGAGCGGGTCCCTTCCCTCTAATCCCTCGCTGCCATCAGCCGCCTTAGCATGCACAGGGCAAAACAAACACCATGTGAGCAGATGGTACCTTCTCCATCATCCCACCACCGCTTCAGCAGCCCTGAATAAAACTGCCCCGTTACCTTTTTCCCGTGAGCTGCCCCCATGGTCTGATGTGTCGGCTGTGCTCTGCTCACCGGGGTGCGGGACCGGCCGGTTCTCCGTGGTCACCGGCCCTGTTACTCCCGAGGGGATGCACGGCCGTGCAGCTCCTGGCCCCTCAGCAGATGCTGCGGGGAGACGTGGGTGAAATCCAGCCCGTCTGCAGTGGGGTCGGGCGGGAAAGCTTGCTTTTCCTCCCTTCTCCCAGCACGTGGAGAACTCATTTTCTTCGTGCACCTAACGGCTGGCTCGCGCCCAGGCTCTGCCCAGGCACAAAGGCAGCTTTCATGCTGCGGATGCCCGGTTTCTAAGCTGGGATTCGTATTTTGAGAGGCTGTGGAAGATTACAGTAATTGCACTTGACAGGGCAAGATGTCACAGGACACGGATTCGCCCAGCTGCGGGGCCCCAGCACCCACCGGTCCTCGCCTGCGGCATCCTTCCTAGCTGCTCCTTTGGTGCTTTGCTGAAATAAATCTGTACCCCGAAAATAAAGGAGGATTATCCCTCTGCTACCCGTCTGCATCCTGGCTCTTGGCTCCTGTTGCAGTGGTGGATTTTGCAAACTTTGCTTCTGCAAATACCCCAGGCTGCCTGTTTGCCGCTGCACCGCTGGAGCCCACCGTGGCCCCCAGGTGAGCCCAGGTTACCCGGAGCTGTGCCCTGGGAGGCCGGGCAGGTCAGGGCTTGTGTTTGCTGAAGTCTCTGGGGGATGCGGCATGGTGAAAACCAGCCAGGTAGGTGTCTGTCTCTGCAGTAATACAGCTTTCAAAATGCCAAGACACTAAAGAAACTTCTTTAGGGATTGCTGTCCCTGCACCCACCACCCTTTTCAGATCTTTTTTAAAAACCGGCAAGTTAAATTTGACTAGTGAAGCCATATTTATACGCCTGCCTCCCAGATTCTGGGCTTTTGAAAAGCTCCAATTTATTTATCAGGACACGGTGACTTTGGCAGGAATGGCTCTTCAAAACATTGGCTGCTGATTAAGGTTCCTGCACAGGAGTTGCACTTTTAGCTCTCCTTATGTATTGAAAATAGTGATGTACCCTAGTAACTGCTCCGTGATGGATTCAGAGCTAGTTTTAACCGTCTGTAGCGTGCTGAAACATAAATTTCCTTTATTTTGGCTTTAAACCAGATTTCTAATGTGCATTGCAAAGGGCTAGGAAGATTTTCCTGTGGCTGAAAGGGGCTGGCTGTTTTCTGGGCTGTAGCTGATGCTGTGCGCTGGTTTACCTCATGCAGCCGCCTTTACAGCTCTTAGGCTGTTTTCAGTTTGGCTTATGAGTGAATCTAGATCCTTTGAGGGGGCTTAAAATAGTTGGCATATTTATGCCGGCAGCGCGGCAGGGCTGTGTGATGTGAGGGCTGTTGTGTCTGTTGTGTTGTGTTATTTCTCGCTGCTGCCACGGGTAGGGATGATTCAGCGCTTGGGATTAACCGCTGCTGTTGCAGCAGATTTAGGGATCAATTTACGGCCGAGGCTTCCCTCGGTGTGATCAGGTGCACGTTAAGAGCGCAGGAGGATAAGCTGGGATAAAATACTACAGCTATTGGGGGATTCCTCTGTGATGGCTGTTTTGGGGTTTCATTTCAGTTTTGCCTTTGGAAGTTCTTACAGGTGTTACACAATGCGTTTTGGGATTTTTCCTTATTTAGGGAAAACCGGTTGCCTCCTTGGTTTTGGATGGTGGTGCTGGGTTTTGGATCCAGGGTTTCATCCCTAAGGTGACTGGCGCAGGACAGGCTGTGTCTCTTCCTGGCCTTATCCTGCCAACGCTCCTCACCTCTGCTCCCCTGGGCTGAGATAACCGATGTGAGCCGCCCGTTAGAAGCGGTGCTGGGGCAAACCCTGCGGTTAGAGGCAGAAACGGCTAGGATCGCCTGCTACCCTGCACAGCCCCAAGTGCTCCAGCAGAAATACTCCACCCTCACGTTCTGTAAAACTGCTGGTCTGCTTTAAAGAATGGGGAAAAACCTGATACAATCATAGGAAATTAAAGTCTGTATATGATGCAAATTTGTCCCTGTCCATGATGACAGATAAGCCCGGGCCATCACCCACGCAACTTATCTGATCTCAGCAGTGCTCACACTCAAGGAGGTTTTGGGTACAGATGGTTCTTGGGTGAATGCATCCGGACACGAGCCGGGGGCAGATGCTCCCCCAGGACCTCCTCGGCGTTGGGCAGCAACACGGGAACCACCCTGGAAGGAGCTCTGTGAGGCTTTGCTGGCCTGCGTTTGGGCAGCGATCTCTCCTCTCCCGGCGGTGTCGGCCAGCCCCGGGTTGGGGTGCAGCTTCCACGGGTGTGTGGGTGCCAGCAGTGGGGTGCCAGCCCGGGTGTGTCCTGTCACTCCAGACCGATGCTGGCTCCAGCTCTCCCGGTAAAAGGCTCCCACCTATTGGTTATGCTGCACAACTTCAGCTGCCTGAGAAACTTGCACATCCCTCCTTCCCTCTTTGCTGCATAAAGTTGGGTTGGCACATCCCTGGTGTTACCTGCAACCTTTGGGAGCCTTGTCATGGAGGGTTTAACTCCGATGCAACCCAGGAAAGATGCAATCAGGTGGGGGAAAAGCTTTGGTCTGCAAATATTACCCTGCATTGCTGTAAGCCATCCCTGTGGCCATCTGGCCTTACTGTGGCTGCAGGAGGCAGCGATGGGGTTGGCAGGAGCTCCAGGGGAAAACCACCAAGGCCTGAGCATCCCCAGGGATGGCTTTGCCCTCTGCCATGTGGGGAGGGGGAGCACCCGTGTACAGTGCCGTGGGATGGGGGATGCTGATGCATGGCTGGTGGCAGAGGAGATGGCATGCTATGACTGCAGGGAAAAGCATGGATTATGCTTGGAAATGCAAGTGAGAACGTAGTGTTTTATAATTAGATATCTTATTTCAGAAATCTGAAAAACCTTCTACAAAGACAGAAAAATAAAATACCCTAAATTGACCCATAGATGAGGACAGCTCAGCTGAAACTTGGCTGGCCGTTTGCTCAGGCTCTGCAGGTGCTTGTACAGCTCTTCTCCAAGTCCTGCACAGCCCCTGCCGTGAGATGGCCGGTCCCTGGGAGCGGGCAGCTGCTGCTGGGCTGTGCGACCGGGAGTGGGGCTGGGGCCACTGTGATGGGGCTGGGGACCCCACGGTAGGGCTGGTGTCCCTGCAAGACTGGTCTCGCCTCCATGGCAGGCTGGGGCTTGATGCTAATCCATCTTCCTGGGGGCACAGCCCTCCATGTCCAGCAGCTCAGGCCAGCCATCGTATTTATTTGTCTTCTCATTATTTTTGATGAGCTGCAGGAAAAAAAAAAGAGAGAGGGAAAATTAATGAGGAGGTTGGTGGCACAACACGAGTTTGCAATGTACTGAAACTTGCAGCTTGGTTTGACATGGGGGATAACACTACTGGCCCACATCTTCTGCAGAGAGGTAGGTGAGATGTGGCTCAGGAGGTGCTATGAAGAGGATGAGAGCCTCTGGAGCTGGTGGCAGAGGAAGGCCATCTACCTCTTCAAAGGGACTCTTGTTCTTCAGTCCTTTTGCTCCCAAGAAGACCCAGTTGTCCCGGAAGCCCAGCTTGTTCACGTGGCTGCTGCCCAGCTCCACAAAATGTGCCCGTACTTTGTCGTTCATCCTGAAAGAGGGTAAGAAGGTATTAGTGTGGTGCCAGGTGGGTGTCCCCTCTCTGCTGCTGGCAGCAGCACCTCCAGCTCCCCCCCAGCTATGGATTTTAAGGGAGCCAGGTGTTGCTCCTGGGGCCAAACTCACTTTGTGGCAGCATCATCGTAGCTGGCTGTCAGCACGATGGTGCCGTGCTTGATCTCTTGGAGGAAGGTATCCAGTTGGTTAACGTCTGGGAGAGAAGACCATCAGGAAAAGAAAAAGGAATTTAGCAGGGTCTGCTGTGTGGCAGCTGGGGTAACCTCCTCGGGGTCGGTGGGAAGTATCCTGGCTGTGCTGGTGCTAGCCAGGATTTGGGGTCATGGGCCTGGGGAAGGATGGGCTCCCAGATGCCGCATTCCTCATCTTGTGTTCCCACCTAGGCTCTCCCACATTGCCCGGGGCTGGCGCTTTCATCCTCAGGGAGGAATTTGCATCTAAAGTTTGCTCACTAGCTGTGAAATGTTGTTACGCGAATTTATTTCCCAACACCAGAAATGAGCTTGCTCGGCCGCAGGGCTGCTTGCCCTGCCATCCTGCTTTTGGCTGTGTTGCAGGAATTATTCCTCATCCTGCATCCGTGGGATGCTCGAGTCCAACGCCCCATCTAGCGGCACAGGAGCCGACTGCTGTCTCCTTCCCCGTGCCTCTCCCACCGCACGTCTCGCTCACAAACTCAGCCTGAAATCTCATGGTATTGGTGTTTCTCCTTAAAACTCCAGAGTTACTAAGAATAGGCTGCAAAACCGAAAGGGTGATGGATACCTGAAAAGGCTCAAACAGCAAAGGGTAAATCAAAAGCACTATAGGGGTGGTTTTAGCACGGGATTTTGGGGAGTCCTGCCAAAACTCTGGAGAGGTTTGGTAACAGCTTTGCAACAACAGTGGGATTTACAGCATCCCGCGAGTCAGTGCCAGCCAGGCTGTGAGCGGGTGCTGCCCTAGCTCAGGACATCTTCTTCCTCTTAGGAAGATTGTTGGAAGCCAGCAGGGGCAGGGATGTGGTCTTTGCTGCCCACAGGCTCTGCTCCACGTGCCCAGCCTCGCTGGGGCTGGGGGCCACATCTTGCCTGCCATGCCCTGAGCTCCTCATTTAGCCTCCTGCAAAAGGCAGGGAAACAAGCTGCTGCTCAGCCACCAGCAGCATTCAAAAACAGAGTTGAAAGTTGCAAAATCTCAGGATTAGTGTGACTACCTGATCTCAGAAAGTAGCCTGTCTCAGGCCTCAAGTGCCCTGGTTTATTCAGTTTAGTGGAATTAATTTTTACAGGCTATTATGCCCATGTAAAAGGAGCGAGAAGTCAATCTCGGATGCAGATGCATTATGAGGATGCCAGGCTCAATGGTCTCAGGGAAAGTTGAGCTTTTGCTGCCTGAGCTGGCAATCCTGGTCAAAGTCTAGTAGACTTTATCATTAACTACATGACAGAGGAGCAGCCTAAACAGCTGGCAGCTGGCAGGTGTGAGCCCCGGCTGGGAACCACCAAGCAGCAAAGTGACCGAGCTTACCTCCAGAGTACATGTCGAATGTGTCAGCTTTCAGGAGCTGCCCACTTGTTCCTGAAAGGTTAAAATTCAAAACAGAGCACAGTGAGTTTGCATTGGGGTGGCTGTAGGCTTTAGCTGGCCACCAGCTTGGGGTTCCGTCTGCAAAATGCTTTGCTCTTCCCTCAGTGTGTCATATTTGCTGTCACGGTGAATGCATGGCTTGGTGGAATTCATGGAGCCATCATGTATGACCCAGGTGGGTTTGTCCTCATCTCCCTGGCAGTGCTTGCAACCATAATTGTGGCTAAGCACCCCATGCAACAGCGAACTGATGTGCTTTTGGCTCAGCGACGGTGCCTGGGGGAGGGTCCCCGGTGGCCTCTTCCTTCCTGGGGGAGGAAGGGACCCCGGCTGTGGGGAAAGGGGGGTTAGTGCCCACCCAACTCACCGTTCACCAGTGCGATGTTCAGGCCTCTGCCAACATTGTTTTTCACACTGCTCATGAGGCTGAAAAGGAAAGCAGAGAGTACCAGTAAGTGCGGGGATGTTCTGGAGATGCTGGTGCCAGTGAAACTGTGGTAGGGCGAAGTGGCTGCAGACACCAAAATATCCCCAGAGGCGGTAGCAAAGAAAACTATTCCCAAATTTTTTTTAACCACAAATGCACTATGATGGCCATCAACCTGCTCGGCAGAGGCCAAACTTGCCCTATTCAAGCCCAGGCCACTCACGGCTGCCCCGTCCCCTCCGTATGCTGCTTACATCATGCCGTTGAAGCAGATGGAGGGTCCCACCACGTTTGCGGCACCACTGATGATCTTGAAGGCAAAATGGTTCTGAGGGCAGCTCTTCTGGATCCTGCACTTGTTCGGGGGCAGCTGCTCGCCTGCGAGGGAGGAGTGGAGCTACAAACCATGGTGTTGGCCCCACAGAAGGACACCAGCTGTGTCCTCGAGAGGCCGAGCAGGGCTGGCACTGGTGCACAGTGGTCCCACTAAGGGGACAACACCTGGACCAGCTTCTTGCATGAAAGAGGTTTGTCCTGGGGCTGGGACCAGCTTCTTGTTTGAGGTTTATGGTGCTGAGGCTTGGCCTGGGGAGGGACGAGATGGCCCGGGTGCTGCTCTGGGTGTGAGCAGTGTGACGGCACAGCTGATGCCATGGGGATTGTAGTGATGTGTGCCAGGGAGCATTTGGAGCTGGCGCTCGTTCAAGACCAGCCCCTTGAAGCTTTTCTGCCCGGAGCTTCCCCATTCTTGGCCGGGGTAGGGACCTGTGCCACGGTGCCCGGACAGGGCCCATGACCTGCTGCTTTCTGCTGTGGCCTGGGGATGTTTCTGCTGGGGTAGGGGGAATCGCATGAAGGTTTGTGTGCTTGCAGAGTCTGCCAAAAACACTGCTGCTGTGTGCAGTAATGAAATTCTCCTGTGTTTGGGAGGGTGGGATTTTTGCCTTGGGAAAGAGGCTCTTGAGGGCAGCTGTCACGTTTCCACCATCACCCTCAGCCCTGGAGCGGTGTTGTGTGATGGAGATGAAGTTGAGAGTGGTACTCACTGCTGGGCTTGTTGGTGGCACCTGTGGGTACCAAGCAGGATGGTTAGACACTCTGGAGAGCTGCTGGCTCTTCCCCAAGCCAGGAGCAGCTGTTCAGGCACTGGCTCTCCAAAACCGCTCCCCATGGCTGCAAGCACCCCTGAAGCAACCAGCCCCAGTGCAGCTTCCCACTGTGCTGTCCCACCCCTGCCCTGATGGTCAGAGCTGGTGGCTATAGCCTTGGCCAGGGACTGCAAGTGCCAATGTTTGTGGCAACTATATGCAGCTCCAGGGTCTGGCTCACGATGGGGCTACCCGCACCCTCCCTCCGGACCCGGCTGGTGCCCCACTGGTGCCTCACCAAGCCAGCTCCGCAGGCTGACGGCTTTCCAGCGCCGATCAAAGTACATCTGCAGGGTGAACCATGTGCCCAGCACCATGACGAGAAGTGCCATGTGCCGGATTATGCCTGTGAGGGGTGGCGTAGGAGCCAGGTGAGAGCAGCAGGAGCACGGGTCGGGGACCAGAGAATCCCTCTGGCTTCTTGGGGACTTGGTCTGTGTGTCCCCAGGTTACCAGGTGAGAGCCAGCGCTTGTGTGGTGTGGGAAGGCAGCTAACACTCCTTCATTCATCCTCTAAAAGGACTCTGATCTCTTAATTAATATCTCTAGAGCGTGTGGCAATGCTCAGATAGGCATTACCCTTCTACTGGGAGGCACTATTCATATTTCTCTCTGCATTAAAGTAAATCTGATAATTAGTCAGAAAGCTATGTAAATCCAAATATTTCTTCTGTTCCCAGTGCTGGGAAGGCTGCTATCCCCCAATTAGTCACTAGCTACAGCTGAGCAGCTGCTAATACAAATGTGATTGGCATTTGGCTTTAAAGCAGGGCTCATCGGAGCAAAACGTTCCAGTCCTGCATGGAAAGAGAGTAGAAAAATATACTTATATTGCAGCTGAATGGCTCTTATGGAACCAGGAATGTCTCAATAGCCATCTCTTCCCAGCTGCAGACGGTTTCACTGGGAAAAATACAACAGGCTGAAATCTACACAAATCTTAAAAAACTGATGCTTATATGGAGGCCCTTTCCATGGCCCTGGCAGGGGAAGGTCAAGGTAGCTGGGCTTGGAAGGGGTCATGTAAATGAGAAGGCGACATAAATAACTGTAGAAAAGTGGACAGAGAAAAGTAAATCTCTGTCTCCCTCCTTACTTGCCATCCGCATGTTGGTGGGGAGAGAAAGCACAACCGAGGGGTTGGCCAGTGGTCACAGGTCACCCTGAGGAAAAAGAAGGAAATACCATAAAGCATACCTGTAACCCACCAACGCCAGGCAGATATTAGATGAAAAATAATTGCTATGCTTAAGCATATTTGCAATAACTAAGAGGTCACCAAAGATGTATAAATTCCTATCATCAGGCACATGTGCTCTGTCCCACCCTGATGTTGAAGTCCTGGCTCCTGTATGTTGGAGCAGGCTGCGGTGACTGAGCTGTCCGGTGAGCTTCTGTTTAACGTCCGCTTCTCGGTAATGGAGCACGTTTTTCTCTTCTGCTGACAGTGATGAGCTCAAGGAGCATATTTTCGATTACAGCTTTGCTGCATTTCCTTCTGGGATGATGCAAAGTAGGTTTCAAATATTAGGGGCTGCAAAATGCCATCTAAGGACAGGCTGCGATTTGGCCTTGCCCGGTCAGGGGAATCTGTGGGAACAAGCTTGTCCTCCTTAAAACCAGGAAGGGAAGGGAAAAAAGGCAACGCCGCTGAGCTGGGCAGAGCAGCCAGGCTTGAGGATGCCTGACTTAAGAACAGAAATATTTGCACTTGTCCAAATCCTGCAGCGTCTTCACCCCCGTAAATGGGGAGTGGTTGTAATTTGGAATGTGAACTATTTCCTACCCAAGCAAGTCCATCTGACCCCCTCTCTCCTGCTGCCACCCCCACAGATGGGACAGACAGCTACGACCCCACGCACCGGGCTCCCAGGGGCTGGGGATCCGCTCCTACCTTCAGAATTCAGGGCTGCAGTCTGGTGAACGTCCGTCCTGGAAACCACCCCCAAGTCCTAAGGCGAATTGTCACCTGTGAGATGTGTGCTCAGAGTTAAAGAACCTAATGTTAACTAAAGCAGCCTTTTAGTGAGCTTGGCATAGAAAATTTGTAGAAGAGTTATGCTGAGAGTTGCTTTTCCTGTTTGAAGGGTAAATAATGAGCAACGGGTTGTAGCAGGGCTGGGCTGAAGTTGATTTCAGGCTGCTGCGTCATGAGGAAGGAGAGAAGAGCTTTGCCTCCTGCCCAGCCCTGCTCCAGGTCCCCTCCCAGGGCTCGACTTGAGGAACATTGCCCATGGCCATATGATGGCCGTGGCCGTGGTGCAGCGTCCTCCCTTGACCCCCTGGGTAGGATGGACCCAGCATCCCCCCTCAGCGCCCTGGTGGGATGCTCCCCCTTGGTTTCCCCTGCACCCCGGGGTAGGTTGCAGCATCACTGTATGAGGCTTTTAGGCAGCCTTAAAAATAAGGAGGAAAATGATCTGCATTGCAGGATGAAAGCTGTGGCTTTCTTGCTTGACCTGAGACCCTGGAAGGCGTTTGCAGTGGGGCAGGGTGGCCGATGCCTGGCCAGAGTGGCAGTCCTGTAGTGATGTTTCAGTGGTCCAGAGCCTGGCACCACTTCCCATGAGATCCTTCTGCTGTGCCCATGTCTGTGGTGAGGCTGCGGCAAGGAGGAGTTGCTGAAGCTGCTCCTGCAGGGAACTAGCATGGGAGAGTGGCCTTGTGGCTTAGCTGCATTTTGAAGCAAGGGCTGGAAGGTATTTGTGTACCCTCGCATATTGCAGCAGTGTGTTTTTGACGGTGTATCTGCTAAGCATACTTGCTTCCCAGCAGCATCTCACTTCTCCCCTCTGCAGCTATTCCTCCCAGAGGAATGTGGCCGTGAGCAGGAATCTGTCTCTGCAGGAGGTGGCACAGGGGTCTGTGATGCCCGCAGCCCTTCCCCACGCCACCTTGTCCTGGCCCATCCCAGCCCCCTGGCACGGTATCCCTGAAATGGCTTTTAAACTCCTGTTGGAGCTGGCATGAACAAGCCCTTTTCACTGAGCTGGTGGGAGAACCACAGACCTGAAAATGGATGGTTTGAGGGTTTTGGAGAATAAATGCTGCCTGTGGCTGGATCTGGCATGACAGCACAGGGCTCTTGCCTTTTGCTTCTTTCAGCATGAAGTTTTGCTTTTTAAATGCAGGGAGCTTCTCCCATGCCTGGCTCCCCAGCGCAGTGCCTGACCTGGTGATGGGTGTGATGGGGGAAGAAGAGCAGTACTTAAAATCCACCCTGGCAAGTCGCAAAGTCTTCAAAATTGGATTCAGACCTGGGCCATGATTTGGACACAGCGAGCAGAGCAAAACTGGACTGGATTTGCAAAACCATCCCCATTTGGTCCCTGCCACTGCGGGGGAGAGCAGCCTCACCAGGGCCCATCGCGCAGTGCTCTCCTTTGCCACATTTGTGTTTTTTCTGTGTACATATTGATTTCATTGCAGAGGAAGAGAAAAGGAACAATAAACCCATAAACACTACCCCTTTAGGGAAGTCATGTATTTATTTGGGCTATTTATCTTCACTTTAATCCCAGGTAAAATTTACTGGGTGACGTCCCTGGGTGGTGAAATTCCTGGAACCTGATTGCAGTACAAGAGGGAAGCCCTGCCCTGGGATTTCTATTATATTCTCTTTTAATTGTTCAGATTGATATCCCCCCCACCACCCCAAAAAAACCTAAGGTTATGCTGCAAAAAAAGATGACTCTGCTCTGGCATCTGCCAGGGAGTGACTTCAGCGAGTGACTTGCAGGAGAGGGCGAAAGGAAGGAACTGTGGTGGATTACAGAGTTATTTGTCTAATAATCCTGAAACTGATTTGCTTAAAAACCGTTCCAGGAACAAAAAGGTTCTCAGACAAATATTGCTAAAGAGCTCTGTGGTAAAGGCTCCACCCTGCGCCTGCTCAGGACCTAGGAGCTGCTTGGCAGCGCTGAGTTATTGCTGCCAAGAAGAAACCCAGGCAGATCTCTGCCCTCCCAGGGAGGTTTTCTAGGATGCATCGGGTGAATGTTCCCCCTCTTTCCCAGCACGTCCCTGAGCATGAACGAGATGTCATTTTGGTGCGGGGTGGGGATGCAGCTCCAAAGAGGGTGGCTGCCAGATGTCACCCATGCCCACACCCAGCGAATCAGCCCTCCAAAAGTCAGAGTTTTCCTGCAAAACTGAATGCTGGGGCACAGAAGAGGGTCCGTGCATGTCCACCATGTGTTAGGGCTGGTCCCACCACAGGAGAGTGAAGAATGCTACAATACCATTTTCAGTCTCAAAAGAAATCACTCTGACTGAGCTTTGCTAAGTTACTTAACAGGAGAGTGCTGTTTGCCAGAGGGCTTATAAATGTCTCAGCTCATAAAAGTGCTTGGCCAGCTGTTGTATCTGCCAAAGGGCTGGAGAGGGTATCTTATGGTGACCCTGCCCCCAGCACAAGTCAATAGTTAACTGGGGTGAGGCCCTGAGCCTGAAACAGAAGTTAACTGGATGCATGGCAGGGGTGGGCAGGGGTGCGGGGC